CAGCAGCAATGTTACTTTTTTTTTCAAATTTTCTCTACAATGAATTATTCTGTTTCTGTAGTGGAAGTAGAGTGCAGCAGCAACAAGAAGTATCAATCAACTTAGGCAAAGAGAATGAGGAAGATAATGAGACCGAAAAAGCGCAAACTATTGAAACTTCAAGCTTAGCGAAAGGGAGTACCGGAAGTTTGACACAGGTACATTTACTGTATAAACTTACTGCTGTTTGTCAAACGGAATAAACGCTTGAAACTTTTAGTGCTATAATCGAAACAAAAAATAATCATTTTTGACTACGCAGCGAACTTACATTGTTTAATCCAATTTTTATTCGTGAGAAATTATTGTTTTTATCTTAGTTTATTTGAAACAGATGGTTTGATGGGTTTTTGCCAATTTTTTGCCTTTAAAAATTATACTTAAAATGTGCATAAACTGAAATTTTCTGTGCGGCTAAAGGAAATGCTTATAGTTTCATTAGTTGTATCAAAGAATAGAAGAAATGGCAGAAAAAGGACAATGGGTCTGCAATACCGGTCAACAGTGGCGATTATAGCATATTATAGCATATATTGAAGCAGCTTATTTGAACAGTTTTTTCATTTCAGTTTAGAATTTATAAGTTCTTAAATCAAAAATATATCTAAAAACGTTTTCAGCAGGAAAAAATATTGAAACAATAGGTGTTGTAAAGAGTAGTGAGTGCAGACAGATGTTTGCTTTTTGTTTTAGTGCATTTTCAATACAAAACTGCTGCAATATCTAATTTTTCACACTTTTTACAAAAGTCATCCTTGTATTAGATGATTTGTTCTTCATTTTCTCATCGCATTTGAAAAGGCTATTTGAAATAGCGCAAAAAATTTATGATGAAGTGTTTAAAGCTAGTAGTATTTGAAGGCTTAAAAACTACCATTGGTAATACCTATTGATCAGCGACTGATTAGGGTTTTTTTGATTTTTTTCATTATTTTTATACTGATTACTTAACATTGCTACAATACAGCACAAAAAAAAATTTTTTTCTAGAATGAACCAGCATCAACGGAAAACTCGCGTTCTTTATTAGAAGAAAACTGTATGCTCATCAATAAGGTTGATGAGAATGACAGAAGCGAAGAAAATGTTTTGAGACTTATGAGGCGTGTCGCCGAACTTGAGGCTAAAAATGAGGAGCAGAGAAAAACCATCACTAAATTGAAGTATAAATTTAGACACTTTAAAAAAATCTAAACTGTATCACACTAAATTTATACGTATCTCAATTATCAATGTATGATGGTTAATGTATGCTCGACTACCTGCTGTTATAACTTCTCTTTAAAGAACTAAACTTAGATCTACAGTTTTCTACAAATGTTGAGACGGTCTCTAAAATCATAGCTCTAGTTCTGAATGGATTTGAAGCAAAAGTAAAAAAATTATTTTTAAAAGTAATTATGTAACAGCAAAAAAAGAAAATAATTTATTTTTTTCAGGGAGGATAATTTGAATCAGAGGTTAGCGGTAACGGACGGCAGTAAGGAGCGAGAAAATTTGTTGATACGCAACGCATCTTTATGTCATCAGGTGACAAACTGAATTTGAACTATTAGAAAATCTCTTGAGACAAGAATTAGTTTTTTTGACTCTTTTCAAGCACAACTAATATAAACGTTTTAAAATTGATAACCTAAATTGTTTTTCTTATTTGTAAGTTCTAAGTTTCATTTGCCAGTTATTTGTTTTGATGGTTTGCAGTTAGAGTATGAAAAACGCGAATGGTCGATTGAAAGAGAACAATTGGCGATGCAGTTGGACGATGTGACACGTGAATTGGAATTACAAAAGATGCTTTTGAACAGTGAAAGTATTTCACAGATAGTTCAAAGGGTATGACTATTTTGATCCATTTGCACTGAGACAAAAATGCACTTATAATTGGTTTAACTTTCGATTATAGAGGAGAAGAACACTGAATAATCTTGTCAATGGGTGGTCAAGTCAAAAATTTTCTTTCTATAGCAGCAACTAAATAATATTAGTACAATTTTTTTTTGTATTTTTTAGTGGGAGGACAAGGTGTTCGATCTGCAGGGTATGATTTATGATAGGGATCGTGCAATACGAGCACAGCAACAACGTATCAGTGAACTTGTCAAAAATTCGCACATCGTAAACGACACTTTATTGTCATCTGTATTTGCTAGCATTAAAGGGGCTATTTTACAACTGTTCGCCACGTAAGCTCCCTTTTTTTTGATAGTTATATTATCAAGTTAGGAAAGAGAAAAAAAAACTGACTAAATACATAGAATTTTTTACTGTAAAAACTCTGTACGAATAATTACCTAACTTTTTTATTTGGTACAATTCTGAAACAATTGAAAAAAGTGAATAATGGCAGGAAGAATTTTTTTCTATTTTGACAGAGTTTTGTCTGTTCGACATTCAACTGTTTTTTGTTTACTGCAATAAAATGACTGACTGCTATTTTTAGACGAAATCTACGAAGTTTAGACCAGTCGATCAAAACTTTAGCAACTGCTTTACAGTTGACCAGCGAAGAAGAGGCAATGCTAAAAAAAGGTGTTAATGTTCACTAAATTTTTAATTTTTAGTATGTTTTGGGCAATTTTTATTTCTACTATAAATGTGCTTTAAA